TTATTAAACTAAAAAACATATCAGACATACCTGAAATTCTAACAGTACAAAGAAGCAAGCCCCCACAAAACACTGAAGGCTTAAACACTCCGTCTCTTTACAACATGCATTTCTTGAACTTGCTGGGTTTTCTCTCCCTACTGAGACAAGGAAAATTAAAGAAAAACCTCCCATAAATGAAAAAGATGGGAACAGCAACATCATGATTTTTTTTTTCTTTTAAATTATCTAATGTAGAGTTCAATTACATTCCAGGAAAAGGTAACAGTTTTAGAAGCTACCTGCTTTGAAGGCTAAGAGCAAGCTACTAAGTATGTTTAAAAGAACCAAGTGAAAGATGGAGTTTCTGGTTAGTTCTGGTTCTCAGGTTCATTTTAACTGCTGAACACATCTTCTCTAAATTTAAATAGAGAACATGTAATTTGATTGAGAAAGCGGCTATCAAAAACTACGAAGAGATCCTTCACTTTCTGGCAGAAAGTCCAGAGTATACAAACCATACATTAGATTTAAACAACTAAAGACATTTCATGGTATTTTTTTGTTAATGAAAATCCAGAAATGGAGTAGAAGGAAGGAAGGAAGGAAGGAAGAAAAAAAAAATTTCTCCAGTTATTTCAGTATGAGTCTGTGGAGTCACTTTTTCAGAACTTGTGAGCATTTGAAAAATAAGTTTAATGTGATTGCTGTGACTTCTGCTTCCATGTACACACATACATGTTATTTTGTAGATGATGAGTTTTTGCAAGAACAGGAAATTCCAGGCAGAACAATGTTATTACAAGCAAAAAAAATCTACCTTAGAGTGTATCATGTACTAGTAAGAAATTATATCGCTATAAACTACAAATATTAAATCCAGACAGAACGTAAAGGAATGACTGGTTTTAACTGTTCAGGCTAGGATAAGAAAAACCCTTTGCCTAATCTACCGTGTTGGCTAGATGATCATTTAGTGTATTATTCTACTTTACAGGCAAAAAATAGAAAAATTTATCTATAAAGTGTCTTATCAAATCCTGGGTTGCTATCTTTCAGACAGCTGGGTAGTCATCCTTCCCAAAAGACCTATTTAAGACAGTCAACCTTTTAAATCCTGGGAACACAAAGCTCATATAGATTTCAGAATGAAAACCTTACAGTCCTCTCAAGCACACATTTCTATTGGATTTTGTGTGTGTGACTGTGAAAGGAAGGAGAAGGAAGGACAGTGGAACTGACAACGCAAACGTGTTTGTAGCCTCCTAACAGATGATTTCATGCTGGGAATAATTAAGGAATCATGTCTTTACTAATGATCTATTCAAAACGTTCTCATGGACACGTAAGCACAGACCTAATACTCAGAGATTCACAGCCACCAGTCAAATCACCAATAACATTAATTCCTCAATAGAAATAAAGGGACATGAAGCTTTTACTGCATACATTTTTTTTCACTAAATGTAATTATCATTATTAAAAGCCATCAGTGTGTATGTTGTTACAGAAATGGAGACTGTTTACATGAGTCCTGGCATTAACTTCACTGCAACTATTTAAACTAAAGACTTGATAGTGGTTTTTTATAAATGCCATTATCGGAAACGCCTTTCAGAGTAATGCATTATTGACATGAAAACAACATACTGCTGTACTGTATACTGTTTTCCATGTCTTGTTATTTTAACACAAACATTTTTATTTTAACATCACTTATTCCCACCAGTGTATTTTAGCAAATGCACTAAACTGTACTTGTTACCATTGTCACAGAAATTAATATAGGCCAAATTGCAGATTTGCCAAGTGCAGAATTAGGAGCACAGCACCTTTAGCTCAAGAGAAAAGGCAGAAATTGGTCTGAGAGAAAGCAAGCAGACAAGTGATTATAACAATGACATTTCCCCCACCTTCAAGTTCTTCCAGGATACTTCACCTGAAGATTAATTACTTAAAGATGGTTCCCCAAGAAATGGAATACGTTTATCCTATTTATTTCTTTATGATATTAAAAAGTAATCTGAGAAATTTGCACATACTTCAACAAAACACCCAAACTCCACCTACTATGCCCTGGAAAGCCACAATGGTAGAAAAAGCAGCAAAGCAACATAGAGTAGTGAAAAGCTGGGCAGCAAAGGGACTCTGAGCAAGATTAAAGAAAAAAATCCAGAACTTCTGGCATTATGTATGAAGACCAAAACAGGGTGTCCTGCTTATTTTCATTTTGACAAACTAAAAGGAAGCTGGACACAGTCAGTAAGTGCTTCTCACGCAGCCCACGTATTCACAGCTTTAACTACTGAAAAAATGGTGCAGCCTACTACAGACTGCTGAAAGAACTCCAACAAAATCTTAAGAAGCCAACCTATATAAGAGACCAATTCCAATTTGTTTTTCCAGTCCTCCTTGAAACATAAAACTGGAATTGTTCCTTCAGACCGGTTTTAAGTAGAGAACCATTTCATCAAATAATAGAAATAAATTATTTTAGTTCATTCCAGTGCAAACAAAAGCACCTGTAACAAGTCTACTGAATTTTGTCCTTTGTATGTCAGCGAAGCTCATCCCAGTACTTTTAATGTTCTTTAAAGAATTGTGTTAAAAACATTCCTTAGCATAGAAGTCCTCAAGTCTATTTCTTAAAATATGTTCCTTAATTTGCTACTGAAAAATCAGTAGGCATAATGATATATTGATATTGTATCCCTGTGAGTGATGATCATTTTTATAAACATATCTGACCATAAATTTATAGTTTCATTTGATTTTTATAATTAAGTGTGATAACCTGAAGAATACTTTAACATACTAAGTGAAGCTTTGGATTTAAAACTAAACCATAGAATCCCTTCAACTTCACAGCACCAATATAAACCAGAATAACTGAAGCATGGTTTGTGAAAGTAGGAAATAAAAAACATTCCTTAGCACAGTATTTGATCTAAACACTTTCTGTATATAATTAAATATATTTTTAATGAAGTGCCACAAGAATTTTAATTTACAGATCACTAACTTTGCAATGGCATGAGCTTTGACGGTATTTTGAAGGCTGAACTAAGTAAAGTATTACAGGTCACACTCCTAAATATGTAAAAACAGAATGCATATAGAGATGCGAAAAGCTGAAGATCACTTTCCTAAAGCCATAAACTCTAAACTCCAAATAACAAAATGAAAGCTTGTATTTTCCATGAGGAAAGCTACCTAAATGTTACCCATACAGCTCTTTCAAGTATGTCTTCTGATCATATTTAACAGTAGTGCTAAGGACCAAAACTATATTAAGCTTGCATGTTCTGCAGCAATATCCTCCTATCCCCAACAAACTCAGGGTGTTTTGGATATTATTTTTGTTTTGTTCTGGGGGATGTTTTGGTGGTGTGTTTGCTTTTGCCTTTATTTTTTCCTATCTGACAGCAGAAACAAGGAATAATCTGCCATGTCCTATTTTATCCAGACATTTAAAGTTTTCAAAATATTTCTAACTTACTTAAATGAGAAAGTGTATTGTGGGTACACCATATAAGCAGAAGCACAGATATTCTTTATAGAGGCATTCTGCAAACTAAGAATTGTATACTGAGATGTATAAACTATAATAAATTAAAGCATAATTCTATTTTAGATGTAGTCACAATCACCATGTTCAAGTGCACAAGGTAACAGAAGGAAATGTAATGCAAGTTCTGTTCTCTGTGGCCTAAATTAAATGTTTTACTCCTACTCTATGCAGAAAGTTAAAAGAATGTAGAAGAGTTGGAAGGGTTTTCATAATCTTTCCAACTCTGCACGGAGACAACCCCCATTTCCTCTACACAGTTTAAATGAGTAGTGAGTACAAACCTGGAGGAGGGTATACAATGTGTTCAGTGCAGAATGATTTATTTTGTAAAGCATCAAGCAAAACAGTCCCAAATCTTGGTCCTTCCAGAATAACAGGTGTACATGATAAAGCCTAGAAATTTGCTTGCCAGCTCCTACAAAGAACACATCTACCACAATGTCTATGCACAGATTGTTAGAATATCATTGTTGCAAGAACACTGGAGCCCAATGTCAAGTAGTGTTGTTTAAAAGTAATGCATTAGTAAAACAAGAAGAGAGCTTAAGAGTCAAGAGAAACAGGGAGAACTCTACTTCATAAAATACATAATGCCAGTCCAAGTTGGAAGCATAATTTTCAAAAAAGAAAAATCCTTAGTTTAGGAACAAGCTCACACACCTAAAACTAAAATTCCATGTTTTTATTGCATACCTTCTTTGCAGTTTATCTGCATGCCTACAACCCCCAATCTCATGGCAGTCTTTAACACATTCTCCTATTCAATTATGTATCTTTGACATCTTCTGCAATAAAGGAATAGTAGTCAGAAGCTATTGTTATTGCTCAGTAAGATTGCAACAAGAGAAGGAGAAAGCTCAAAGCCAGTGGAAAGGCATGAGAAGTTGGCATATACAGATGTTCGACAGAAAACTACAGAACCAAAGCTAGGATTATTTGCATGTGTTATGCATGATGTGATCAAAATTTACTTGTTTATCTATATGCTCTTCTCCTCTTAAGAACTGAGAAAAAGTAACTACCTTGCCTCTGAAGAAATCAGAATGGAAGGCACTCTCATGAAAAGAATGGAATCCTCTGCATGAAGATGTGTGTTCTGAAGTAAAAGTGATCACAAAGATTAAGCTTTGGAGAAAGATAGATGTATTCCTGATCCAGAAACAGCTGTTTCTAATAACATTAGCAGTAGAAAAAATGTCCTTATATGCACCTCCATTGTTTAGAGCTTAAGTGGACAGTAAACAGAGTAATGCCACTGTGAACTGCAGCCTATATGAATATTATAAGGCACCTATAGCAGCAGCCAAACAAAAACTTGTTTGGAGGATTTAAGACAGGGATGTAATACAAAAATGTAGACAAGCTGGTACTTCTGTACTGTGAACACCTAGTTAAAAAAAGGTTTTTCCCCCTCTTGAAATACCCCAATCAGTACTTTTGGTACACATACCTCGAAGAATTCTCTCCTCATGGCAACGTAGAAAGTCCCAGATTCTAACAGTGCCGTCGTCAGAGCATGTAGCAAATTTATTATCCGTGGGTGAGAAACTGTTACATGAAGACACACAGCAGGGGAAAGAAGTCAGCATTTAACAGATTATCTATGCTTCTCAGACAGGGCAAAATTATACTGCAATGTGTTATACAGAGGGATGCATTTGAACATAGGGACTGAATACAGTGCCTGCCAAATGACACTTCATCACAAGACATGAATTTAGCATAGGATTACTATTGCATAGCAGTCCCCTGTCAAACGAGGAAAAAAATCTGGAATTTATTCTTAGCACCTTCCTACCTATGACTACACACGGTAGCACCTTCTCTGCAGGATGAGAAGCAACATCAGTATGATTTGGTAACTGTCACCCTAGATTTTCATGTTTGGTATTACCATAAGAAAGTGACACTGCGTAGAAGCACAGGAGAACAGTTCTTAGGAAAAAACTCCTCTTCAGCCACAGGTGCTTTGCAGCAGAGAAGCAAAAATAAGGGAAAGCTGGTCACAGGAAAATGCTAGTTGGATTAACTGTTGAAAAAAATTGTATATAAAACAAGCGTACCACTTATTGTAAAAGTAATTTGGAAAAAGCCCCTCTTATTACACCCCATCAACACCTTGAAAAGAATCCTACAGACACAGAAGCAGTTTCCAGATTGAGCAGTCAGTATCGCTTGATGGAAGTCACTGGAAAAGCAAGGAGTAATTTAGCCATGTGATTAGGGCCAGAGCATCTCCAGCAACTGACAGGCACCCACTTCCTTTCTGGTGCAGTGAAAGACCATGAGGGAGCCCTCGTGAAATCCTAGATCTTTATGATCAGGAAAGGGCTTAAAATAGTAGAGAAATTCAGTGTATGGCTATGCTAGTCAGACAGTAACTGAATCCAATGTAAGCACTTCTCATAACCAAGCTCTGGCAGAAAATGCTGTACCCTACCAAAGAAAAATGGTGACTTTAGTGGAAAGTGGTTTTGTGGCAGTGAACCTTTATCATCAAGGGCTAGCACCTGAACCCGAAGAAACACTGCTTTAGCTTCATTTTGGATCTGCAGCTTCTCTTCGGGCTTACTTTAAAAACATCTCCATATCTTACTAAAGATTATGTGCAGGTTTGCTTTAGAAACATCCTTCATTTACATCTTACTGATAGTATCACTTTAGATTCCATTTTTTTATATAAATAGACATTTGCACAACTGAGGCATCAACACTGAACCAAGAGAATGTCCTACAGTCTTCTTTTCAATGGCTTGCTTACAGTTTCAGGCTTGAAGAACCCATTCAGTATTAACATTAGACTTCTGTATGTGGCAGTCTGCGTGGGTATTTAGTATTACTGGAAGTCTTGGCTTCACCAAGCCAAGCAGTTCTTCACTTTATTTAGCGTTTTATTATTTTGTGAGAACTATGCAGGTGTTTTATTTCTGAAGGCTTTATATTTTATTCAGTTAGATTATTAAAGACTGAATTCTTTATTTGGAATGAAATTGTTGTCTTACACAGTGCGTATAAAAAGGAATAACTGATACACATTGTCACCATATAAAAATGAAAAGAATACCAGTGCAAAATGCGGCAGACAAATACATCTCTAACATATTGCAGAGGCGGATACTGGGACAATACTAGTTCAGAAAGGTGCCAGCAAAACGGTGAGAATGTGGAAACAAAAGAAAATATTGTGTTTATGTGGTGCAGGAAGTTTCCCAGAATCTGACAGAACCCATGCATTTCTGCACCCAGAATACACTTAGAGAACAGTCTAATCATGGCAATAGGTACTACAGAAAATGGTATATTGTGTATAAACCTGGCCTCTCTAATCGCCTCCTTATGTGCCTGGAACATCTTGACGTTGTTCATGTTGGACTGCCAGTATTTCACATATCCCCCGTGGTCTGCTGTCAGCATCCACATATCATTGTGTGACCAAGTCATAGCCCTTACAGGGCTGTCGTGAGCCTGTAAATTCAGAAACAAAACTTCTAGCAAACATGTTCAAAAACTATCTGACCCACACAAACACAAAGGTTAGTAGAGCTCCTACTTAACAGCTGCAACAAAGAAATTAAAACAATGATGATCTAATCAGAATCAAGATGTTATTGTGGGAAAAAACAAAACAAAACCAAGCCAAACCAAAATTCCCTCATTCTGTATACAATGTCTTCTAAATAATAAATGAAGAGTATTTGCATGTTGTTTCCAGAGTGTTTCTTCATTATTACAAATACTCAGTATGTTCTTGAGAACAGTTAGTACAGAATATGGAGATGGAATGAGAAGCGTTAAATGAACTACCTATAGCCACAGTCTGACATGCAGTCAGAGCAGAAAAAAAACCATAAAAGGCCTTTAAGGCTCCCATTACAGCACTTAAGACCACAGACCCATCATGACCAGGGTGAAGAGGTGTTCCTAAAACATGCTCTGAGACCTCAACGATATATACCGAAATTCTGATACATGAATTTACCTGCAATATCGTTTCAAAATTGAAAGTCAGTCCATTCCATAAAGTGAACTCTCCACTAGATGCACCAGTGACCAAGCGTCTCCCCTCAGGAGTCCACTGCAAAAGAAAAATTTAACTAAACTGTGCAAATATAACATTCAAATATTTCTTCACAATCCTTCAAATAAGTCATAAGCTTCTTCCAGAGAATCTGCAGAACTGAAATTTATTAAATTACTTTCTAGAGGATGCAAGACAGACAAAATGCAGAACTGTGCCAGAGGGCTTTTGACTTTTGTAACAACGGGACAAAGCCCACTGTAAAAGCAATTAAAAAAAATCTAGTGGTAGAGAAGAAACAGCTTATTTCTAGCAGATAGTATCCATACTAAATAATACTGCTGACAACATGGAAAAGTTGTTAAAAGATGCTATAAGCATCAAACAGTGCAGAGACTGAATTGCCTTTTTTTCTGCAAGTCATTAGTCCTTTCAAATGAAGGAAAAAAAAGAAAAAAGAGTAAGAATTATTTTGTACTCAGACCTTACCATTTAATTTCCTAGAACCCTCCACAGAAAGACTAGACACAGAAAAAGTCCATACATTCTATATGCTAGCTTTATTTGGAAACCGTTATCTTGTTTCTTTCTTCAGTTAAGAATATCACTTGAATTTAAATTAAGACAATACAACTAAGTAAATCCAATACTATACTTACCCTGACAACAAACACTGGACATTTTACTTTATTAGTAGATGTCCGAACAAATTTTGTTGTTACAGCATTCATAGGGTTGTTCAGCATTCCTATAGGAGGGACCAACTATGAGAGAAGAAACAAAAGATTCAGTAATGACATTTCTAACTAGAAACTGCAAGAAAAGCATACAATCTGAACACTCACTTCTGGAAAAGCAAGTTTTTCATTTGCAGGGATATTATCATATGTCAGTCAATAGAAGTGTTCAAAAATCTACATGATTTACCACCTCAAACATCCAGAACCAGCATCTTCAAGAACAGCTTTGCAAGCTCAGTGCATTATGAGAGTTCTTATGTTCACAAATCAATAGGCTACCCTACTTCATGTTCTCTTTGTGGACATGGATTCCAACAGAACAAGATAATGTAGAGTGAAGATACCCTTCATATCTTTAAGGCCTCTTGTGGACAAAAAGATAACCTCTGCTGACAGGCAGAATCCTTCTCATTTTCTGGACAAATTTTATCTACAGAAAGAACTCCGTTGGGGAATAGAAAGATTATACTTACATCATTATAATATCCCGCATCAGGCTGGATTGCTCGCATATCGCGCTGGTCTCTCTGCCATACTCTATTCTGGAAAGAAAAAACCAACTCTTTATTCGTTCGTGGTTTGTACCACCACTCACTGTTAAACAACAGAAAATAAAGAACACCTTGATAGTCTGTTAGGGAAATTCCAAAGCACTCCAAGGATTTTAGAACAAATTCAGTTAAAAGACTTTGGTCTCAGGAAACTTGTAGAATTTGTACAGCATAAGCAAAAGATTCAAGAATGTTTGAAGTCTTAATTTCATCATGCTAAAGCAGCTCATTTAAAATTGAAGCATAACAATATGAAAGGAGTAGTCCTATGTAATAAGCCACATTATTGTAACAAAGATGATTGGTACTTTGCTGCCCAGGCTAATAGATACTCTACAAGAAGCACGTTCAATCATTTCAAAAACTTTACACTCAGGATAAGCATTTGCACCATTAGGAGCTATGCCAATGAACTCTAAATGAAATCCCCCATTGTGAGAAGGGCTAGAAAGGAAGCTTCTGCAGCTGAAGCATAAAGATAACACTTTATTCAAATGGATAAAATTTGGAAGAGCAAGGGATGAAAATGCCTTCATTAAGTTAAATTTTGTGAGCTGTCAAATAACTTTTCAAAAACACTTTACCTGAGTTATTTCAGCTTCATGCTGCAGACTTTACTAGTTTGGATCTGTGTACGTATTAGAAAACTAACCTAAAAACCTAGGTAAAACACTGCCAGCATACACTAATACAGCTTGCTAGAATTTCTTAAGGCAAGAGCAAATTACACACAACTCACTCTTCTCATTTTTTATAGAACCACATAAAATTAAATCAGTAGTATTGAAGGTGGGACTGAAATGGAATTCTGGTATATCTTTATTTTGTGTAAGTGTCCAAAACAAGAGAGATCTGATTGTTTTGTTTTCGGGGGTGGGGGGGAGTGGTGGTGGGGGGGTGTTGGTTTGTTTGTTTTAATAAACAGAAATTTGAGGGTGCTTGTTTGGGAAACAGTAAACATGAAACGTTCCTGAACTACTGAAATTATTTTTTAGAATTAGTCTACTAGTAATTGAATCTTTCTGGGGGCGTTCCTAAAATGTAAGAATGTGCTTTAAGTGTTCAGAGTTTAAATAGATCTTAGAAGATAACTTAAATTTAAGAAAACTTTCCAGCTGTTGACCCCTACAAGCTATAACCATGCACTGGCCACAGAAGATCAAATTAATTTCATCATGTTTTTGCAATGTTGCTGTTGAGATTCCAACAATTCTTGTATTTACAAATTTGATTCTATTTTTGCTGAGCTAACATCCAGTACTTAAACAATAAACCTTGAACATAAAATTGTATTTCTTAAGAAATGAATACCACCCCATCGGGAAAGTTAAATAAGCATTTTTACAGAAACATTTATTCAACAAAACTTCATTTTAGTTGTTCTTTTAACTGTACAGAAAGGGACTTTCAGACACCACTGCAAGCTGCAGTGCTATTTAGTAAAACAATTAGAAAACATTTTTATGGTGTCCTAGTTTTGGGAGAGAAGGGATAATGGTTTATTTACCAATTTGGGAATTTCCTATTTCGAAACAAAAATAAGAACAATTACATTATTTACAATGAGTTTTTATGTTCACTGAGAAGTTGGAACATCACACAAGATACTCAATTGCATTCCAAGTTGGAATTCTGAGACAGAATGTAAAACTTGGTGTTTCCACGAACTACAGCGTCAGCTATCTATATATGCAGTTTTACTATCAAGGATCAAACCTCTTTGTATTCATATTATACCAAATTTACAAACATATGTCATTTAGTTTGAAAGTGCAGCAGTAGATCTCCCAGTATTCCAGACTGTTCTATGGACTCTGAGAAGCACAACCAGAAGTTTCAGGAAAGAAATAAGTTTTTTAAACAAAACCAGAAAATTAACTAACCTCTAAATATTTAATTACAGAGGGATTGTAGTCTATGGTCTTTCTGTTCACAGCTTTTCTCATCCGCTTTCCATCAAAAGTAAGCTGTTGCATTGCTTGCTGCTGTGCAAAATCAGGTCTTTTGTAGAATAACTGCCGAGGCGCCTGGTGCTGGAACCTCGGCATATGGAAAAATCGGGGCGGGGAGCCAATTTCTGTGGCCATGGCTATCTTGTTTCTGAAAGACTGCAAAAAGTGAAACACTAGGTTACTACATAATAATGACAGAAATCCCACATTAGTATCACCACTAACTTAAGTTTACAAATATGTATAACAACTTCATAAAGCACTGTTTATGGGGAAGAAATATTTGGAGGTTCCTCTGAACAATTACAATTCTTCCTCTGCATCATGTAACACTGACATTAAAGTGGTTAAGTACTTGGTGCTCTATCAAGAAGAATTTTGTATTGAAGAAGATCCTTATGAAGTTTGCATTACCATCCCCAAACTAGAACTGTGTGGGAAAAGAATGTCCTCAGTAAGAAACGGTAAGACCCTTCAACAGATATTTCAGGTTCAATATACAATAGAAAACACCACATTAGCTACAAATTAATTTAACTACTAACAAGGAAAGAAGTTTTAAAGGGTGCCTCAAAACCTTAGTCAATGACCTTAAAATAAAATTACATTCCCTTCATATAATTTCTAGTAAATATACTACAGATCACATTCTACCTGTAGGCATATTTTCAATTCCATTATTGCAAAATAAATGGATTACATATTTATCAAGATTTGATAAATGTAACCAAATATCACTTCCCCCCAACAAGACCCACTGAGTTAAGAAAGTGTGAGGGGCAGTTTTTTCTAAGAGGGAAATGACTCAAACCTAATTTTTCAGTCTGTAAAATACTTAAATGATGAGATCACAGCAACCTCTTCACAGATGAGAAGTACAATATACACTGTCTTTAAAGTATATACTAACTTCGACTAAGCAGTGACACACTCTGAACTAGTGAAAGCTCAAACGTAATTTTCAACTTGTACTCTGCCCCCCATCCTGCACTCATAGTTTGAAAAAAAAAAAAAAAAAAAAACCTTAAGCAAAATGAACTAGCAGTGTCAGCAAGAGAATGCAAAAAGGCTGAGAAAACCCTCCTTTCCATGAAGGCTGAGGTGTTTACACAGTTAAAGTGAATTTAACAAAAAGAATGGAAATAAAACTAGTATAATTTTTTAAAAAAAGTAGAAATAATCTGTATGTAAATTCATTAATGTACTTTCCTGTTTAGTTAAAATAATTGTATCCTCATTTTGAAAGAGCTGGAAAGTTGTTTCAACTGTCAGTCTTAAAATTTTATCTTGCTTTTTTTGATCCCAATAATTGAAAAATGTTTCCATTTGATAAACAGCAAAATAAAGCTAAGATAGCAATGCTAGACATAAAAGAGGGTTTAAAAGTAGTGCACAGTTTGATTTCATTTAAGAGGTTCTTTATAACTACAAGGAGCAGGTTGTCCTTTCAATATCAGCTTGTTGGCCCAGGGCAGGGATTTACCTTCACAGGCTTTGCAAACCCTGTAAATCACACACTCCTTTCCACCACTAACCAAATGTGTCAGGGCAGCTGTAAAACCAGCCATTGGTGACACCTGGCTCTTAGCTACACCAACAACTCTAACATACAGGGGGAAAAAAACAACTAAAGCCATTGCAACTATTCTCCATTCAGATTTCAAGTCCAAACTAAAATAGCATGTTTCCTTAAATGAGGTAAGGAAATTTAAGACATAGCGATCTTTTATAAGACCAACTTGTGCAACTGGAAAGAGAGACCACCTTCAAATAAATAAACTTTCGTCTTGCAGCTGAAAGGCTCATTTGCCTGAAAGCTGCCCAATACCAGGTGGTCTAATATAACACCATGTCTACCCCCAAATTCTGCCACATCTGTAACACCACAATTACTACAGCATAAAGGTCATCTGAAACAGCAAAAAAGGTATCAAAACTTCCTCATGCAGGAAGTATGTCAAGTAACCCTAACACTATCTCACATTCTCCTGCAATTTATCAGAATGTAGCTAACCATTATACAGAAAATTTCAGGTGTTAAATCTCAAAGTTGAAATTAAAAGGATAGTAGTGCTTTTGTATCAAAAAAGAGAAAGCAGCTTTCTCAAACAAGCAAAGCAAGCTGGCATTAAACATGCAAGTCCATTAATAAAGTCTTTTCAATGTAGTTTTAAAGCTTATTCATTATTTAGGGGAAAAAAAAAAAAAAATCACCCCAACAACCTAAAGAAGATTTCCACTACTAATCTCTTGTCTAAAGATATACACCTCTATACCAAATAGTGCTTTAAGCCAGAGGGAAAAAGATATTTTTTCAAAGCTACACATCTGTACTGTCTTCTAAGCAATGCAAAATTACATTTCAAGAACCAAGACCAAGAGTGTAGACAAAGATACATCCTGGGGCTTCCAAAACCACTTTGATCAGATACGTGTGCAAGAAAACACTACATAAAAAAGCCTTTTTAGAGAAACACTCCAAAGCAACAAGTTAATTAATAATTTATTCTCAGCTTTCAGAAAATTTTTCAATTACTAACTTAGGTAAACAAAGCGGTAGCTATGATATGGATCAGTTTAGATTGGACATGCCTAAAACTATTGCAAGCAGCATCCAGCTTAATTAGCATAAACAACATTCACTTAACATGCAATCAACATCAACAAGAACTACTGTTTAAAAGGTGACCAAAGGCATAAACATGTTAATTACACCTCTTGTGCCTACAGACCCTTCCAAGTTCATGATTATGACAAGACAGTACATGACATCACAACTACAACAACATGACAAGGGAGATGACACAGGATTAGGAAAACAAAGGGTTTATGTTCTAAACTGTTTCTTTTTGCCTATCACAAAAAGCCCCCTACCTGTAGTTACAAACATTGCAAAGATTTTTGTTTACCCAGCTGCTCATAATTTTATTCGAATAATGCCTCAAATATCATGCTTTTATCCACATAATATCTTTATGCCCAAGTCCTGTTTGCTTATGTCATACATACATATATGACTAGACCTACAGAGTATGTGGATATGAATATAGATGTGTGTATATACACACCGAGTGAAGTTTCCAAAGGAGCTTTAGAAGTGAAGGGGGTTTTGGGGCAGGCTCCACTCAAGTCTGACAAATATACCCATTCAAGTTTGGCGTTACCAGTATCCTACTTTGTCTTTTGCTGGGACAAGCCAATGCCTCAACAGAATCTCCTTTAGACATTTTATATCAACGAAAAGTGTCTGAATTCAGTGTGTCTACAGCTAACGCTCCTGTTGTATCAGCAGCGTAAGTAGAAACATGCAAACAAATCTTAGAGGTCAATGGGTAATCCAGAGTAGTATCATCCAATTTCCTATTTTAAGCAAAGTACCAAAATTTGTTGTTATTTTAGAGTCCATCAACAAGGGTTTAAATGGAAGACTTTACTTTTTCCTCAATGCACAGAATTAGAAGCAACAGAAAGATTTTTCCAACATCAAGCATAGGTTAGCTCTTATTTTATTGTTTCTGGATAATAACACTACCAATTAATTGCTATTCTCCTCTAGATCATTATACTCTTACCACAATTTGAACTGTGAATTTAATTTTTGTATGCCATTCTTTCAGGCATCCTTATTGTTTGCAACAGAAAGATGACTCTTCAGAGGCTCTCAGTCAGTTTCCTCCTTTCTGTCCTCACATATACTCCTTCAAAGCTGACTAGTTTTCACACATTTGGGGATATACAAAGAATATACAATGAATTCACTGAGCAAAGATAGGGCCATCTAGAAACACTGGAAGGTAAGTAACTGGGCCTGCTTTTCATCTGACAAAAGAAAGCCTGGAAAATGCAATCAAATTGAGAAGTGAAGGCACACCCAGCATGAAACTGAAGGCAGGATTAGGACCAAATGGATAAAAAAACCCTCGAAAGATAAGGTAGCTACAAGAAACCCAGTAAGAGTAGGAGTAACTGTAGAAGCAAAACCACTGAGGAACAAGGTCAGTTAAGAAAGAGTGAATGAGAAACCTGACAAATAGACACAGGTTAAAAAGAGAAGAGAGAAATTTAAAATAATTTAATTGAGAGAGAACTGGGCAAATGAAACTGCACAACAGAACTCAAGGAGCTTGTGATAGCACCCAAGATGTCCATCACTGTTCCTTAACTGTCAACAAATACACCTGCAACAGAGCAAGCCTTTTATAAGGATGGTAGGTTTGCTAATGCTATCCAGTAATCAGAAGGACATTACAGAATGGAGTTAAAAATGGGGGGGAAAAAAAAAAAAAAAAAAAAAAGAAAAAAACCAAGAGGATGACCTTATACCCAGGACAGCACTGTGTCACAAGAGAGATGGATTTGTTTGCTTTTTAAAAACAAAAGTCACATACAGAATTAGCCCATTAAAGAAAATGGTTACCACTTACTTCATTTACTCAGATAAGGCTATGAAGATAACACCAGCATTCATTTAGTAACACAGTTATTTACTTATTTGGCTATAGCTGTTTCTTTAATAGCAAAATGAATCTTACATTAAGTTTTGAAAATTGACAGATTTGGACTTTGCTGCCCAAAATCATGCCATTGCAGTGATTCACACATAACTTGAGGACATCAAGATGAAACAAATTAGGCTACTCCAACCAAAATAAAAACACCAAAGCATCCTTTTACACTGATTTATCAGGTAAAGCTTAGAGAAAGAGAGTCATGGCTTATATGAAATCTGTCACTTCTTATAGACAGTTCAATACTGAAAGAAAAAAAAAAATCTGATTTATGTGTAATCTTGACAAAATTTATATGGTTTACCCAAAAAGATCACCATTAATGAAGTGCAATAACTGGTAACTAAAACATGCTTGCCTATATTTAATAATTATTGTTCACTAGAAGTGAAAACAACCTAGGTGCAGTACTCTGAGTAATAACCTGAATACATCAAAAGAAAAGCATGTTTCCAAATGGCCGAACAGAAGGCTATTCTCCTGGGGAGTGCAAGCAGCCAGTTACTTCGCAAACCCTACGCTGCCCACTACAACAGAACATACTGCAGCTTAAGACATACCCCTGAAATGGATAAAGCAGCAAAGGCAAACAAGTGCTAAAGATTTCCTGAGTGCATCTTCATATTGCTTCTTTAAATGCTTACTGGG